AGTAGCAACAAAAAAGAAAATTTCTTTAGCTAATTGTTTTAATTTTCTGACCATCTTTAGGTCTAGTCAGCGAATCAAAATCTGCAGTTGGCAAAGTGAACCTTAGGCCTTCAAAGGACAGAATGAAAAAATGGAGTGTTTTTTTCTTATTCAGTAACCCAGTAGACGTATCAAACAAAGCAGCTGGAGGTGCAAGCTTGGGAAAGTAGAGTTGACATATTTTATAAAGATTTACTTTCAATCTTGTGTGTCTGTGTAGGTGCCCAAGGAAGTCAGAGGCATGGAGTCTGTTCAGGTTACTTTTATACAGAGACTCGTATATTTTGTTTGGATTTTTTATTTTTATATTTACTGTATGTGTATGAGTGTTTGGTTTATATGTGTGTATGTGCACCACATGCATGCCTAGTGCCCCTGGAGGTCAGGATAGGGAGTGGGATCCCAGGTAATTGGAATTACAGGCTGTTGTGAGCCACCTGGTGCTTTTAACTGATAAGCCATCTCTCTCTACCCTCCTTGGCTTTGTTTTTTCAGAAAGGGTCTTGCCACATTATAGACCAGGGTAGCCTAGTACTCTCTGTAGCCAAAGCTGGCCTCAAACTCTGAACTTCTCAGCCTCCAGGCAGTTGTGAAGACTAATACATGCTCTTAACCACACCACTGAGCCTCCTGCTTAGAATTTTGTTGGATGTTGAACAAAGCAAATTACAAGAGAAGTCACAAAATGTAGCTCAGCACTTGTACAAAACGCAGTTGAGCACATTTCCTAACGGACAAAGAAAGCACTGGAAGCCTAGGTGTGTGGAATGTGATGCTTTAAATGTTCGCCTTATTGTGTGTGTGCACGTGGAGCATTGCAGCTTTCTCCTACTTTTCCATAGGTAACTCAGGTCTTCCGTGCTTTACCAGCAGAGCTGTCATCTCAGTGTCTTAAGGAAATCATAGGTAATTGGATGTAGCCAGAGCTAAGGGAGCTGTAAAGGCTGTTTTCAAACCTATCTGGAGACTTCTTTACCTCTTGGTATGTCTTAATAAGCTAAGGTTTTGGAGTGCCAGCCTTGTGCGGTTTGCCTCTTCAGCCTTAATGCTTTCATTAAACTATTTCAGGCACTAAAGCTACACTACTTCCCTTGCAGACTTTTACTATGTGTTTTGTTTTGGCTGAAAAACATTATTTTTCTCATGTGTTACACTCTCAGGTATCATATCAAGTAATAGGTTATACTTTAGAGCAGTACTCCTCCTGCCAGCCTGAAAAAGAGCTGGAATTATAGGCCTGTGCATGCCACCACACTTGGCTTGCAAATATTTCTTTAGGACAGACACCCAGAGCTGAAATTGCTGAGTCAATGTAAGAGCAAATTGAAAATTAAAATAACTTTATGTTGGTTTGTACTGCTTCCACCATTGTGCCAGTGGGTCTTGCAAATATAGGGGATTCTGTTTTGCTCTCTTGCTATTAAATCTTTGCCAGCTTTACAAGTGAAAATTTACAATCAAATGGCTTGGTTTCTACCTATAAGCCCAGAATTTTGGAGGCTCAAGGAGGAAGATCAGGAGTTCAAGACCAACTAAGGCTATATAGAAAGTTTGAGGCTACTTGGGATATTTGAGACTGTATCTGGGGGTATATGTGAGAAATTAATGTTATTGCTTTAATTTGAAGTTTCTTCTTTTGCACAGACATACAAAGCACACATACACATAAAATAACAAAATAAAAAATAAATCCTGCACTTCTGCCTTACTCTGGGGGTCCTGCTGGCCTTGAATTTAAGGAACTCCTGCTTCAGCCTACCAAATGCTAGAATTACAGGTGTGAGCCACCACACCTGACCCTTGTGTTCAGTCTCCTGTACTTTTTTTTCAAGACAGGGTTTCTCTGTAGCTTTTGGAAGCTGCCCTGGAACTTGCTCTGTAGACCAGGCTGGCCTTGAACTCACAGAGATGTACCTGCCTCTGCCTCCTGAGTACTGGGATTAAAGTTGTGCGCCACCACCACCTGGTACAGCTGTATTCTTAATCCATTCTGCCTTACAGAATACCCTCAGCCTTCAAGTCTGGCTTGGTAGGTAGTGTAACTGCCTGTGTGCAGATGGGGTGACTGTCTGTCTGTCTGTCTGTCTCTCTCTCTCTCTCTCTCCCTCTCTCTCCCGGGGGACAGGGCCTTGTGTTTTTCAGGTTCACCTCAATCTTGAATTTGGTGTGATGACTTTGAACTCCCAATCTTCCTCCTTCCACCTAGTTTGGAATCATGTCTAGCTTCTTGTCTTTTTTTCTGGGGAGGGCTCAGGAACAGGAGAGAGAGCCTTCTCCAGGCAGTGTTCACAGGTTCCTCAGCCACCCCAAACTGGGGTTCAGCGATCCTGAGGGCAGATAAGTATATTATGTATGTTCCCATCATCTCAGATGAGCACTGGGTAAGTTGTAGGGTGTGATTTGGGTAGAAATGTAGTAAGGCCTTGGACATGCCCAGTTCCGACTCTTTGGCATAGGCATTAGTTTAGGAAGGTGGTCTGTCTTGTGGCCTTCTTGGTCTTCCTCCTTAAGAATCTTAGTAAGTAAAAATGTCTCCTTAACAATTTCACACAGAGGACTTCAAGAACAAGGTTAAGGACTCATAGAAAACTACTTTACAATTTAGAAAAAGTGTGTGCTCACTTTCCATCCTTTCACTCCCTCACATCTTCAGGTGTTGTCTTTGATTTTTTTTAAATGCTGCCAGGTGTGGTGGCAAGAGTGTGTACCTATAGTCCTAACTACTCTGAAAGTTATGGCAGGGTTATTACTGAAGCCCAGGAATTTGAAGACAGCCTGGGCAACATGGCATCAAAAATACAGTTGGTTTTTTTTTTGGGGGGGGGCAGGGTTTCTCTGTATAGCCCTGGCTGTTCTGGAGCTCACTCTGTAGACCAGGCTGGCCTTGAACTCACAGAGATCCACCTGGCTCTGCCTCCTGAGTGCTGGGACTAAAGGCATGTGCCACCAACACCCAGCATACACTATGTCTTTAAAGGAAAGAAAAAGCAAGCCAGGTTACTTCTGTGTACCTATGACCTCCTTTAGTCCTGAGCCATAGAGAATCCTCCCTCCTCTGGCATTGCTTCCACGACCTTTATCGTCCTTCCTTCTCATCCTCCTACCCTCCCTGCTCCATCCCCTTTCTTGTCCTTATTC